AGAGTGGTCAAGAAGGCATACAGCATGCTTTCATTCATCGGACGGGGTATTGAGTACAAGAGTTGGCAGGTCATGTTACAGTTGCATAGGACTTTGGTTCGACCACATTTGGAATACTGCATACAGTTCTGGTCGCCACATTACCAAAAGGATGTGGATGCTTTGGAGACGGTGCAGAGGAGGTTCACCAGGATGTTGCCTGGTATGGAGGGCACTAGCTATGAAGAGATGTTGAGTAGATTAGGGTTATTTACATTAGAAAGACGGAGGTTGAGGGGGGACCTGATTGAGGTCTACAAAATCATGAGAGGTATAGACAGGGTGGATAGCAAGAAGCTTTTTCCCAGAGTGGGGGACTCAATTACTAGGGGTCACGATTTCAAGATGAGAGGGGAAAAGTTTAAGGGAGATATGTGTGGAAAGTTCTTTACGCAGAGGGTGGTGGGTGCCTGGAACGCGTTGCCAGCGGAGGTGGTAGAGGCGGGCACGATAGCATCATTTAAGATGTATCTAGACAGACACATGAATGGGCAGAGAGCAGAGGGATACAGATCCTTGGAAAATAGTCAACAGGTTTAGATAGAGGATCTGGATTGGCACAGGCTTGGAGGGCCAAAGGGCCTGTTCCTGTGCTGTAATTTTCTTTGTTCTTTGTTCTATTAGAGTGCTTTAAGGAAATAACAAGTAATAAAGATAAAGGAAACCATTGGATGAACTATACATAGATTTCCAGAAGGCATTTGACAAAGTGCTACATCAAAAGTTACTACGCAAATTAAGAGCTCATGGTCCAGGGGTAGCACTTTAGAACGATTTGTTAGTTTATATAAAGCAGAGGTACAAATGGGTTATTTCAGAATGTTGTACCATAGGTTCAATGTTGGGACTCAGGAAAGTGAAACTATTAAATACCTACTCTAACTCCTGTGTAACTGTTCAATCACCCTTCAACTAACTTCTCACACCCCCACCTACACTTCCACAAGCCCCTCACACTCCACAGACCCTAATCTGACACAATCCTCACCACCAGGAATTGATGCCACCTCTCTCCCTCGGACCTGACATCCCCTGCACCCTCTCCTGAGACCAGATCCATCTCCCCTGCTGACAGACCCAACACCTTCCTAACCCAACTCCCCGACAATCATGACCCCCAGACCCCCACCCCCATGATGGATCTGAAGTATCGAATCCACCTGATCTACTTTTAACATACAAGTCTGATGAACCTAGAGAGGTGCATTGATATTCTAGGGCATGTCAATATAAAAAGAAGGTAGTATCGGATAGAGTCATAGAGTCATAGAGATCTACAGCACTGAAACACGCCATTCAGCCCAACTTGCTCATGCTGCCCAGTTTTCACAATTAAACTAGTCCTATTTGCCTCTGTTTGGTCCACATCCCTCCATACCTATCCCAACCATGTGCCTGTTTAAATGTTTCTTAAATGACAAAATTGTACTCAATTCCATCACTACCCCTGGCAGCTAGTTCCAGACACTCACCACCCTCTGTGAAAACATTGTCCCTCTGGACTCTTCCGTATTTCTCCCTTTCAGCTTAAACCTATGTCCTCAGTTTTAGACTCCCCCTACTTTTGGGAAAAGCTGTTGGCCATCTACCTTATCTATGTCTCTCATGATTTTATAGACCGCTATAATGTCACCCCTCAGTCTCCTACGATCCAGGGAAAAAGTTCCAGTCTATCCAGCCTGTCCTTATGACTCAAATCTTCCAGTCTAGATAGCATCCCAGTAAATCATTTCTGCACTCATTCTACTTTAATAGAATCCTTTCTATAGTAGGGAGACCAGAACTGGACGCAATACTCCAAGTGTGGCCTCACCAATGCTTTGTACAGCTGCAACAAGATGTCCCAACTCCTACACTCAACGTCTGACTAATGAAGGCAAGCATGTCAAAAGCTCTCATCACCACCCTGTCTACCTCTGACTCCACTTTCAAGGAGCTATGAACCTGTATTCCTAGAAATCTTTGTTTTATAACACTCCTGAGGGCCCGACAACTGACTGTTCAAGTCCTGCCCTCATTTGACCCACCAAAATGTTTTGAAAATCTTTAAGATAGACAAATCCCTGGGAACCTAGTGAGATATTATATTATGATTCTCTTTACCAACTCACTCTCAAGCACTGTATGTTTACTATACCACATTTCCACTCATTTATTCATAAGTCTTTACTAACTCACTCACAAGCACACTGCGTTTACTATACCACATTTCCATTCACTCATTCATAAAGCCACCTTAAACTAAATTAAACGTCCCTTCCATCCCTTTCAACTTCTTTTCACCTTTCAATTCTTATCGAACCCATGTTGTAAGCAGTGTTTAGACCTGTTCTGTATCAAAGGCTACCCCTGAATAGGTGTTAATACTGCAACCTACTCAGAACAGTGCCATCCCTGCCATTGTGCCTCCATAACTCAATCGAAACTATGGAAAGATTATAATATTAATTAGCCCTCAGCAACCATCTCTTGGGACCTGAATAGGTTGCAGAACATCAAACAGTTTCCTCCACTAGTATATTAAATAGGGCCACTACCCCCTTAAGAAACTTACTATCAAAACAGCACTTCTGTGAAACTGCATGAATGAATGTATAAGAACTATCAAAACCGGCAATAGTAAATGAAAGCTTATGACCCAGCTGCAGGAGATCAGTTTAATATCCTCTATACTTTTATTTAGTACACGTATAAATATTATTAATTATCACTTATTTAGATCATATAGGTCTAGTATTTTTACTAACATTACTAACTTTAAAGACAAAAGGATTACACCTTTTAATTATGCAAGCTCAGATCGGACAGATGTTCTAATCCCATGAGTAGTAACAGCCAGCATTTAGCAAGTGCTTAAACCATCCCAGGAAGATGTCATGTAAACTTGTGTACAATAGATACAACTATGTGACACCATAATGCTAAAACTTTAATGTATGTAAAAACTGTGTATATAAGAGGCTACTGTAAAACTGAACTTTGGATTCCATCGTGACCTTGAATTGTGCTACTGCAGATGCTCAATAAAAAAGCTTTTTTCACCACTCACCGATCTTGTTCATTATTGAACATGATCCCACAACATGATGGGATCTATCCTAGAATACTGAGGGAGGTAGATCAGGAAATTGCTGGGGCCCTGTACAAAATCTTTGTGGTCTCTTTAGTCAGAGGAGAGGTCCCAGAGGACTGGTGAATAGCCAATTATATTCCTTTGTTTTAAGAATGTAAACAGGGATAATCTAGAAAATTACAGGTCAGTGGCAGGGAAATTATTGGAGAAGATTCTTAGGGACAGGATTTATTCACATTTGGAAAAGTATGGAATTATTAACTGCATGTCTCTGTGCGGGGGAATGTCATGCCTCACAAAATTTATTGGGTTTTTTGAGGAAGTGACAAAGGTGATTGATGAGGGCAGGGTAGTGGATGTTGTCTACCTGGACTTAAACAAAGCCTTTGATAAGGTCTCTTGTGGCAGGCGGATACAAAAGGTGAATTCACATGGGATCAACAGTGAGCTGGTAAGATAGATACAGAACTGGCTTGGTCATAGAAAACAGTGAGTAGTGGTGGAAGGATGCTTTTCTGACTGGACATCTATGACTAGTGGTGTTCCACAAGGATCAGTGCTGGGACCCCTGTTGTTTGTCATACATACAAATGAGTTGGAGGAGAATATAGCTGGTGTGATTAGTAAATTTGCAGATGACACAGATTGTGGGAGCTGCGGATAGTGAGGAAGATTGCCAGAGGATACAGTAGGATACAGTTAGGCTGGAGACTTCGGCAGAGAAATGGCTGATGGAATATAATCCAGACAAATGGAAGGTTTAAAATGCACTTCAGAAGGTCAAGTGCAGGAAGGAAGTATACAGTAAATGGCAGAACCCAAGAAGCATTATCATACAGAGGGACCCAGGCTTACAGGTCCATAGTTCCCTAAAAATGGCAACAAAAGTATATAAGTGATCAAGAAGCTATATGGCATGATTGTCTTCATCAGTCAGAGCATGCAGTATAAAAACTGTCATGACATTTTGCACCTGTATAGAATTAGTGAGGCCACATGTGAAATATTGCGTACGCTTCTGGTTGCCATACTACCAGAAGGATGTGGAGGCTTTGCGGAGGGCGCAGAAAACGTTTATTTGGACGTTGCCTGGTTTGGAGGATATTAGTTATGAAGAGAAATTGGACAAACTTGTTTTTATTTTCACTTGAACGTCAGACACTGAGGGATGACCTAATAGAAGCTTACAAAATTATGAGAGGAATGTGTAGAATGGATAGTCAGAGTCCCTTTCCCAGGGTTGAAATGTCAATTTTACCAGGATACATGGGGTTAATATACAAGAGGGTACATTTAAAGGAGATGTAAGAGGCAGGTTTTATTACACAGAGGGTGGTAAGTGTGTGGAATGTGCTGCTGGACGAGCTGGCAGAAGCAGATACAACAGCAATGTTTCAGAGGCATTTTGACAGAAAAATGAATATGCAGGGAATCGAGGGATGTGAACAGGGTAGAGCTAAAAAGTTTTTAGTTTACAAAGATGTCATGTATTGGCACAGGCTTGGTTGGCTGAAGGGCCTGTTCCTGCATTGCGCTGTTCTTTATTCTATAAATGCTGCTTCATAAATGGCTTTAGCATCCATTGAATTTGTGTATCCTTGTACCTGACTGTAAGCTGTTTTTTTTTGTTAAAATGTATTTAATATTTAATTCCAACAAACAATTTACCCTTTTCATGGGGTTTCCATTCATCCTTATTACTTTTTGTTTGAAAACAACATAAAGTAGCAACTATGCTTATCTCATATCATTGCATTCGAACATTCTGCTGCATTTAATAAGCAAAAATCAACACACCTTAGTGTTTTAGTTGCTTTTACTATACAATTGATGTGATGGTCAGGATAATGAATACTGATTAATGCTGATATCACTGTTTCATACTTACACAACAGAATACCTTTGCTGCCATATTCTCATCAAACTGGCCCAGAATAATTCGGACATCATTATCCTGCAGTGAGAGAAAGTATCACGTATTATTTAGAAATCAAAGTAGATATGCCATATAGTGTGATGAATTAGATGACTATTGAAGAGACATGCAAGTCCAAAAGGCAACTGAACCAGTAAAAACACAACTTGCTGTAACTAACACTTTATTAGCTTTTTGAATGAGCTTGTTTTGGATATTTTCCCAGATTAGAATTTGTGGCAAATTTACTAATAGGCCCTATTAAATGCCAACCTAACAGAATGAGTTGTTAAATACATATTCAAATACATGTCAATTAAAAGTGTTCAGTTTACAAACGTAGGTTCCAACCGCAAATTAAGTAAAATAGATGGTTAGATTGAGGACAACTCTTTGTTACAATAAAATAAAACAAGGAACTGCAGATGCTGGAAATCTGAAACAAAACCTGAAATTACTGGAGCAACTCAGCAGGGCTGACAGGATCTAGATAGAGAAAGCAGCGTTAATGTTTCAGGGCCAGTGACCCTTCATCAGAACTGATGGTAGCTGGGAAGAGGTGGTATATCTGCTGAAGAAGGATGGGAGAGTAAGCGATAGGTGCAGATGTACCCCAGAGGGAGTGAAGACAGGCAGACAAAAGGAAAGATGATGGTGAGCTAGGGGGTAAATAAAGCTGATAATAAGAGCAAATAATAGCTGATAGTAGGTAAAAATGTGATGCAAGCAGCCCCTGGCTTAACAGGGGTGTGGGGATGGGTAAAGGGCAGGGAAGAAGGTGCTCAGGCCTTAAAATTGCTGACTCAATATTGATTCCTGAAGGCTACCGTGTCCCCAAGTGGAAAATGAGGTGTTGTTCTTCCAGCTTGTGCTGAGCTTCGCTGGAGCACTGCAGCAATCTTGAGACAGAGATGTTAGCCAGGGAATACAGTGACGTGTTGAAGTGACAAGCAACTGGAAACTCGGGGTCATTTTTGTAGACAGAATGTGGCGTTTTCGCAAAGCAGTCACCCAGTTTGTCTTTCATGTCCACAGTGTAGAAGAGACCATAGGAAGGATGTTATTAAATGAGACTTCCTTTGCTGAATTCTAAACAGTTCCTCATCCATAGGCTTGCTATATTTTCTAGCTTTCTGTGATCCCACTCTGAACTGAATACTATCTTTAATTAGTTACCATAATTAGGCCATACTTCCTGTTGTGTTTTTTTTTGCACTAGAATGCAATGCAAAACTGTTTTAATACTTGTATTTATTTGTTAACCTTTAGCCATTGCTGATCAACTGTTATGCCTTTAATGAAGGTTCCTAGACTATCATAGCCTACTTATCACTCATTTAGGATACTAGATTCACAATTCACAACTACTTCACTTTCCATCTCAATGAAATATTGTAATATGTTACGGTCATTCTTCCCTGAATGACCTCACAGAAAAAAAATCATTATTAATTAACCCTTTCTTATTGCAAATGATGAAATCAAGCACAGAATATTCCCTAGTTGGCTCGTTAACTTATTTGTCGAAAAACAACACCTTGACCACAATCCAAGAATTCATCTACTTTGGCATTATTGCAAATTAATTCTTTTAATGCTCTCCATTGTCTTACTATTACATCTTGAAGACTTATAGACAACTGTCATTGTTGTTTTCTGTCCCTGGTGCTGCTTAACTCCGGCCAGACTGATTCTATATTTGGATTGTCTGAGCCAATATTGTCTATGGTGAATGTCACTGTGAGAATATTGGTCTGGCCGTGCTGGGGTGCAAGACATCCAGATTGTACAGGTCTCATCTTTCCCAGAATTGGCCCCTGTGCCTCAGGAATCTATATCCCTCCCTCCTACACCATCTCTCCAGCCATGTAACTTTCTGGTCCATTCCCCTAGTCCTGATCTCACTGGTGCGTGCCACTGGTATTAATCCTGATATTACTGCCTTTTGAGGTCCTGTTTTCTAATTTATTTCCTTGCTCCCCATATTCTGCATGCAGAGACCCAGCCCTCTTTAACCTGAGTTGTTAGTACTGACATGGACTATGACCTCTGGATGATGACCATCACCTTATGAATGCCCTGCAGCTGCTCACAGTGGCATCAGGGAGGCAACTTGAAAAGGTGAGACCGTCATGGTGACCTCAATCAGTGTGGGACCAATCTGGTGTCAGATCTGCATCTGAAGAAGTGTCTACCTGTTTAACTCATGGTGAAATCCCGTATCAGTATTGTTATTTCATTATTTGTTCTCACCACCCCACAAACGTCAGTGTGAATTTATAGTCCTTCTCCTGTCAGGTTATACCATGGTCCAATTCTGCTCAGCTCTTTTCTATCCCAATTGCAGCTCTATGAGCCGTCCAACAGAGACTGGATGGCAGGTGAGTGGTGGTCAGCAAACTAGGTGTCATGCCAGTGGTACCGTTCTCAGTACCGACTTTCCCATTCCTATTGCCACTTTGCCAGTGAGATTTTATCCATCACAGGAAGAGGCCAATGCAAGCTATCCAGCCCACTGCCTTTCACCAAGTGGTCTTGTGGCCAGGTAAGGGAGGGTGCCTCCTATTAGAGTCCTTTGTAGCCATCAGAGACCCTTGGTCCACCCATCCAAGACATATATTCTTCCCCACATTTCCTCTGTTCCTCTGCCCTGTTAACACAACAGGGCCATCAATTGCAAGAAAACATATTTTTTAAAAAATATCCAGGGAATGAAAGTTTCGCCAGCATTTATTGCCCACCCGTCGTTGTACTTGTTCTCATGAGGCCAGATGATATAAAATGTGCTGTCATCACCTTCAAATGCCTGAGATGAGAAATACATTTTCATACTGTCTTAACTGTTTCAAATGTTTATCACCAATATTCCTGCTGCAGTGCAGGTCAGCAATTGTTTAACAGAAGGACAGATTGGACTCAAAATATCGTTCTGCTTACCTAGACCTACATTCCTATGAAGCAGCATTGTGCCATCTCCACTATCAGCCTTCATCTGGGGGTGTTGCTTCACTCATGATTGATTACACTTGTCTCAATTAAAACCCTGTGGGTTGCGGGTCCAGGCTGCTCATGCAGCAGCTCCTGAGGTGCAGTCAACAGCAGGAATCTTTCAGGAATCCTAATGGAACACAGCAGCCAGCCACCTCATACCAACCTATGTTAAATTCAGGAAGCAGGGACCTTGACGTTACACAGCTTTACAGTAATCAAACTGATAAAGAAATAATGCATTTAATAGCACTCCTGCTGAGTGCTCCAAAAACAAAATAAGTTACAGCAGTGTACCATATTAAAACAATGGAAAAGTGCTGCCAGGCATCCAATGGATAACTGGTGCTATCACAATGCGATTGGCTTATCCCCAAGGTTAATCCACAGGAATTATCTTCATCGTTTCTTACAGTTGTGAAAAAAAAACTTTTTCAAGTACATTTAGCTGGAGGGTAACATGTTGCTCCCAGCAGAATGTACATGAAACACATAATGAAACTGACGTAGGCAAATCTATGCAGCTTCAAGGACTATTATCCCACATCATTGAGAATCAAATCAAAACTTGTAGCTTTTTTTTATGAAAGGGGACAGGATTTATTCTGGGCTTTAGGGGACAGGATCTATTCTGGGCTTTAGGGCCCCAGGGTCAGCACTAAGGTCGGTTCTTAAGTGAGTACTGGTTGGGAGACAGATCAGGGCAGCTATATTCACAAAGGAACTTCTTAATTGCCTTTTGGGGCTGACAGCTCATAATTCTTGCAAGTCCCATCAAGTAAGCGAGTCACTGCTGACACAAGTAGATAACCCATGGGTGCCTCCCCACAGGGGTGAAAATAATCACTTTTGTCTAGAGGGGCAAAGGAAGCAGACCCTTCCAATTGGACAGCAAACACCCTTCAGTGGTATTTTGATTGTCTGGATTACTGCAGGGAGCTCACCTCCATTAAGGTGGCAGCCTCCACACATGGTATACCAGTGAGGGCTGTAAAAAGTAACCACTGGAGCCTTAAGAATCACAGATTCGCTGCCTGTGACTTTGCATGAGAATCCATCCCAATGCTGCCCTCCCCTATTTTCTTATAACTCCCCACCTCTGTCTTGACTCCCACCACCACAGAGCAAGGAAATTGTGTCCAAAGATTTTAGAATAAGCTTTTTTAAAAATCTATCCAATGGGATCCATAGATAGAAGCTGCACCTCCTTCGATGCTAGTGCGTCAGCCTCTGAAGGAGTCCTCACTGTACATCCAGGGTCAGGTGCCAGAGCCTGAGACATATCTACAGGCTGCCTGAACCCAGGAGGGCACGATGTAGAAGTGATTGAGTGTGAAGACCAGCAGGTCAGACAGAGTACTGAGTGTGTGCCTCAAATTTAGTTCCCCTTAAAATGTCCACTTTTTCTCTTAGTCAAAGAAATGTAGCAATTGACATATGGCATATTGTCAGTCATGTGAGTGTCCATTTTTTAATGTAATTATTTGAAGATGGTAGGAATTTATACAATCCCTGCACGTATACAATCAGACCCCACCATCAAAAAGATATTTCCCTCCCCACCTCTGACCACTTTCTACAGGGACTGTTCACTCCATGACTCCCTCATCAGCTCCACACTCCCCATCAACCCCTCCACCACACCTGGTACCTTTTCCTGCAACCGCAGGAGGTGCTACACCTGCCCCAACACCTTGCCTCTCACCTCCATCGAAGGCCCCAAACAATCCTTCCAAATCCGACAGAGATTCACTTGCACTTCATCTAACTTCGTCTACTGTATCCTTTGCTCCCGATGTGGTCTCCTCTATATCAGGGAGACTCAGCGCAGGCTTGGGGACTGTTTTGTGGTGTATCTCTGCTCTGCACACACTAACCAACCCGACCTTCTGGTTACCATCCACTTTAACTCCTCCTCCCACTCCTCTGGTGATATGGCCATCCTTGGCCTCCTCCACTGTTGGAGTGAGGCCAAATGTAAACTGGAGGAACAACACCTCACATTTCGCCTTGGGAGTTTACAGACCAATGGCCTGAATATTAACTTCACC